GTACACTGACATCTGTAATTATCTTGCCATAGGACAAAAACCATCACATTGGAGCCCTGAGGACAAAAGAAGATTCATGGCGGATGTGAAGTTCTTCTACTTTGACAACCCATATTTGTTCAAGTATTGTCCAAATCAAGTGATGAGGAGATGCTTACCTAAAAATACACAACAAGATGTCCTTCCATTCTGCCATTCTGAGGCATGCGGTGGCCACTTCTATTCAAAGAAAACTTCGGCTAAGGTTTTACAATTCGGTTTTTATTGGTCTTCTTTAATTAAAGATTTTGTTTCATTTTGTAAAGAGTGTGATAGGTGACAAAGGTTGGGTAGTGTGACCTGTAGAAATATGATGCCCCTTTCCACCATGCTAGTCATTGAGATATGCGATTGTTGGGGCACCGACTTCATGAGTCCATTCCCTATGTCTTTTGGCTACCTCTATATCCTAGTAGCAGTGGACGGTGGATCTCATTTTCTCAATAGGCCATTTGCATCTTTAATGCATAAATATGGCATAACGCACAAGGTGTCTACCACTTATCACCCATAGACTAATGGCCAAGACAAGTTGGAAAATAGGGTGATGAAAAATATACTAGAGAAAATGGTGAGTCCAAATCGAAAGGATTGGTCACTAAGGTTGACCGATGCCTAGTGGGCTTACCGCACTGCATGCCAGACCATCCTAGGTATGTCTCCTTATAGGCTAGTCTATGGCAAGGCTTGTCATTTTCCTGTAGAGATGGAGCACAAGGCTTATTGGGCCATCAAAACCTTGAACTTCAATTTGAGAATAATCGGAGAGAATATGAAGCTAGAGTTGAATGAATTGGAGGAAATTTGGAGAGATGCATGTGAGCTCAAAAATTTCCAAAGAGAGAGTAAAATATCTTTCATGATAAATCCATTGTGAGAAAAACATTTGAGCCCAGACAAAAAATACTCTTGTGTAATTCTCGACTCTCTATTTTTCAAGGAAAACTCTGATCTAGTTGGGATGACCCCTATTTTGTCAAGGTGGTCTACCCTAATAGAGCCGTGGAAATTACAAACCCTAAAGATGGCAAAAAATTCAAGGTCAATGGCCAAAGATTTAAGCCATTCTTTGAGGGTTTTGAGGTTCAAATGATGAAGGGGGAGTTAGTGAATCCGGTTTATCCAGAGCTTGTTGATGAATAATTGTTCAAATAGATTGTAGAGTACAATTGCTTTCTTTTGTCATTTACTTTACTAGTTAATTTATTTACTTACTTTTATCTTTGCATAGTATTTTCTTTTCAAATGTGTAGATTGTGGTGTTTGCTGTCAAAGCTCATTGCGAGGTGTTCTCTAACCCTACTTATCTTTTTAAGTCCTTCATTGCATTCCATATCCTTTTTGTTGCATTGAAGACAATGAATGGTTCAAGTTGGGGGGGGGTGAGGTTCACCATTTGTATGATACACGAAAATTTTTGCTGTTGATAATACCATTTTATGCTAAATATGTGAAAACTTTGAAAGTTTTTGTGAAAAATATCTGAATGTTGAACTATATTCCCCTATTCAAAGTGTTATGGGTTGAATGATTACTTGATCATTACTTTGAACTTTGAATATATTAGCACATCATTGAACTCTATCCTATGACTGAGTAACAAATATGTGTTTTTGTTCGAACTCAACCATAGTGCACCATGAACGTGTAATTTTGGCAATTTATGGATTGGATTCACATTTTAGTGCTTGACATGCATAGTGGAGATGAAATAAGTACCCATGTGAGCTTTAGGCCAATCCTTGTTGGAGGCAACTTATGTTTACTCAAAGGAACAAATTTTCAAATTCAAAATCTGTTCAATAATCTCATTATGCTTGCTTTAGTTGGAGTGCATGTAGATAGTTGATTGACTTTGTCTTAAAATGCCAATATGCCTCCCCATGCTTATCTAGAGATGATCTTAGGTCATCTTTGAATTGCTTTGAGCCTTAGCCTTTCTTGTGAAAAATTTATCCCTAGTGCCATGATTTAGCTTTAATTGAAAATTTGTTTCCATGCCACATGATTGACCAAGCCAATGAAAAATGACAAAAATTTTCCACACCTTGGTTGTTCTAACAACTAATTGTGATTGATCATAAAAGGAAGAAAATTACTAAGGCAACCCAAAAAAAAGGGGATAAATGGTGCCGAATTCAAAATTTGAATGAAAAAAGAGAAAGAAAGCCCAAGAAAAAGGAGAAAAAAGGGTTGAAAAAGAAAAAAAAAGATTGGCAGATTCAAATATATGTAACTAAACTTGCAATACACTTCAAATAAATGACATTAAGTGCAATAAGGGAGGATTACAAGAGTCTTACAACTGATTACAAGTGAAATGGGTGAAAGAAATGCAAAAATCTTGTGAAAATCTGCTATTTATAATTATATCTATTGAGTTATCAAAATTTTGACTTTTAATAGAAAACTCGGATGAAGAAATTGACTTCATCATTGAATTCCTCTCATTAAAATGAGTCTGACTAGTATAATATTGACTATGTTTAGCACCATAGACAAATTTGCTTAAGTTAAATTAATTAAATGAAATTAAATGAATTACAAAAAAAAATGATGATGAATAGTGTTATCTGTCATGGCAGCCTGCCATGACTATTTAGCTGACATTGGTTATGGTAGGAAGGCAAGAAAATATCATGTCATTGCCGCCCATAGGAAGGCTAAGAAATACCATTGCCCTGCACTTGCCACTCATGACTCACCAACTGCTTTGACTGAAGCCCCTCCCTCTTAGTGTATAAATACGGGAAAAACAAGTGAAAGAAAGGGAGACAAAAACAAAAAACAAAAAAACAATCTGCCAGCCTTGTTATTGAAAAGAAAAGCAGAGAGAGAGAGAGAGTGCACCAGTGTTGGAAGAGGAGAAGCTTAAGGACCAAAACTTTGAACCTACAACTACTAGCTTTAGACAAAGGTAGGAATTACAATGCCTTTGTTTCTTCCATATCTCTCTACGGTTTTAATTTTCTTTTTGCTTTGCAAGTTGTTGATCTAGTATATGTGGTGTGCATTTCGATGAATAATATATATATATATATATATATATATATATACGAATGAAATTCATTAAATGGGTCTTTCAATTTCATGAAGGAAAGAGGTGAAAATTTGTTGAAAAGTAATTTAGGTCTTTGGTGATGAATGGGTGGTTTTAGGTTTGAAAGGAATGAATAAAAGAAACAATTTATTGCAGAAAAGAAAAACATGGGAGAAGAAGCTTTACTGATGCAGGGGTTTTGTACATTGGAGAAAATGATGAAATTTTAGCTTAATTCAGAAAGGTCCCCTTGACCTTAAACATGTTATAGCTATGTACTTTATGAGATTACCCAATGACCACATAAGTTTATAAAACATTTCCAAATGCCAAATTAGTATTTCGAGTAGTGCAGAAATGTTTCTAAAATTGTACTTTGACCCCAATAAGTATGAAATAATTTTGAATATTACACAGTGACCTCTAATTTCATGATAAAGTTCCTAAATATTTATGAATGGACCCAAAAGAGAATACTTGTGTGGAAAGACCACCAAATCATATGTGGCCTTTAAGATGGTATTTCCTTGGAGTTTTAAACTACCCCCATGGTGATAAAAATTATGTATATATATATATTTATCGTTCAAGTAAAAGTGGGATTACTTACGAAATTTATATATGGAAAATTTACAAGAATAATATTAAGTGTAAAGGGTGGTACACTTCCACATAGATAGAATGTATATATATATATATATATATATATATATATATATATATATATTGATTTGAGTAGCATATACTCATATACGATAACAAGTTGAAGTCATATTGAAATGCATATTCATGATTATATTATTTGCATTTTGGTTGTTATCATGATGGTAAATACATCATTTGTGATTATTCTAGTTATTGTACTCAACCGACAATGAGACACATGAAGTAATTCTCGAAATGTAATTGGGACAAGCAAGTAGGGATCGCCCCTCCCTTGGGTGAAAGACCCGAAACAAGTCTTGATCAAGCGTAGCATCCGTCGAGGTGTGGAGTCACTTGTGCCCTGATTGAAAGCATCTAAGAACGAGGGGGTGGGGTACACCCGAGGTTAAAGCTCTCAAAGGGACCCAGAGTTCCCAAGGGGGTTTGTGCATAACAAACGGTGTATTGATTTAAATGGATAAATACTAAGAGTGAAAGTTTAGGGCGACCCATGACATGAATGGGTAAGATTGATTACATGTTTAATTGAAGTTTTCCATCAATCGTACATTTCGTGTTTGTTGGTAATGTTTATATAATACCTCATGCGATGTTTTAAGCAGGTTGTTATAGTAAAAAAAGTATTTGATGTGAACTTATAGGTATTGATACATATTTTACAGGATGGGATTAAAACCTAGTAGTTGTTTTTCTTGTTGAGCGTGACTCACCCTAACATTTTTGCAAGGACTAGACCAAGAGATGACGTGGGTTTCTTCCCAGAGCTATCTTGAATATATATGCTAAGTTGGATTATGAGATATTATATTTCATGTTAATGCTCAAGAAAATTCTAGATTTGTGGCTTGTGTTTTGTTGCTTTGGTGTGTTTTCAAAACCGACGGGATGTAATACTACCGAGTATGGACTACTTTTGGGATGAATGTATAATTTGTGTACTTAGACTATGATATTAAATAAATACTCTGATTGTCTAGTCTAAACCAAAGTACGTGAACTGTTCAATTAATTTGATGAATTGTGTCTATTTGTCACATAAATCACATAAAACATACTAAATCACCCTGAAAAATCGAGGCATCACAGCTTGGTATCAGAGTTTAGGTATACGATTTACAAGGGACCTTGAGGGAAATCTTAGGCATATCGAATACACGTATACTAGCTATAATTAGAGATTGACTATGATTATTGTTATTATTATTATTTTTTTCTAATGCTAAGTTTTACTGGCTGTCTGGCTTTTGATTAGACCATGACGAGGAATAGGACTAGTGGCGGTGCAACAGCCTCCTTTTGGCAAGGCGCTGATGATTCTGACTTGATGCAGACCATGTAAGAAATTGCTAGAGTTATGTCTCAGAGTGAGGGTAATGGGATGAACACCATGATCACACTAAAGGAGTTCCGGGGGCAAAACCCTCCAATGTTCAACGGTGAGCCTGATCCGATAGTGGCAGAGAACTGGATTAGACAGATAGAGAAGATCCCTGATGCAATGGGGATTAGATCTAATGGAACCAAAGTTACTTTAGCTGCCTTCCAATTGGAGGGTGAGGCAGATCACTGGTGGAATATGATTAAGGAAACCAAGGATGTTAAGAAGATAATGTGGAAAGACTTTCATGATGTGTTTATGGATAATTAAGGGAGCGAAGGTGTAGAAATTCTTAGGATTGCGTTAGGGAGATCTCATTGTAATGTAATATGGGGCTCAATTTGCTGAACTAGGCAGACATGCTAGCACAATAGTACCAGATGACGATAGTAGAGCTAGGAGGTTTGAATGGAGTCTCAGGCCTACCATTAGAGGTCGTGTAATGGTTTTATGCCTCCCGACATATGCCATTGTGGTTGAGGCGGCACTAGTTGCAGAAAGGGAGTTGGACGATACTACGCAAATTAAAGAGTCTAGTCCACGATCTAGAGATTCACGTTCTAGAGCTGGCTCTGGTAAGAGGCAAAGAACTTCAACACCGCAATCTCAGGGTGATCAGACGTAGAGTCATCAATCATTTCAACAGAAGCACCAAAAGAAGGGGAAGTTTGTTCAAGGGCAAGGAGTATGTTATGAGTGCGGATATGTGGGACATTATAGGCAAGACTATCCATAATGAGGACCCTCTCAGAATGTTGCTAAACCACAACAAAATGTGTAACCATCTTATCCACAACAAACTCAACCCCAGAAGCATGCACAAACTAGCCCGATGGTGGGACATACATCATATGCCTCTATTGCCCCGTTTGGATCCCAATAACCCACGAGGCAAAATCACAGCAAAAGACGCGGTGGACATAGCCAGCATACACAGGGTAGGGTCATTGTGTTGACTTAACAAGAAGAGTTCATTAATCATTCAGTAATCCAAGGTAGTGTTCTGTTACATAGTTTTTGGGTTAGTGTGTTGTTTGATTCGGGTGCATCTCACTCATTTATATCTATGGCATGTGCATTTGCATTGGGCTTATCATTATCCATTGACTAGCCCTTGGGTGGTAGAATTCAGGTAGATCGTATTTGCCGATCTTGTGAGTTGGAGATCTTGGGTCTTCAACTAACAGTGGACCTAAGGGTCATGAAAATGGTGGAGTTTGACATCATTCTAGGAGTGGATTGGTTATCAACTAATCGTGTCACTATTGATTGTCATCAAAAAAAGGTGACAACTTATACCATAGAGGATGTTTGTTTCCAATTTCATGGGGATAAACATGCAAAATTACCTCCACCTCTGCGAGATTCGCACTGGTGTAACCAATTGATGGGTTGGTTAGCTAGTTTGGTAATCAGTGATGATGATATAATGGAGTTGGGTCTTCCTCGAGTTGTGTGCGAGTACTCCGATGTTTTTTTGAAGGAGTTACCTGGACTACCTCCTCGAACGGATGTTGATTTTTCAATTGAATTGCAACCAGGCACTGCACCAGTTACTATGACACCTTATAGGATGGCACCTCCTAAACTTCATAAATTGAAGTTGCAACTCCAGGATCTATTAGATAAAGGATTTATATGGTCGAGTACCTCCCTATGGGGAGCGCCAACACCATTTGCCAAGAAAAAGGATGGAAGCTTGAGGTTGTGTATTAACTACAGACAGTTGAATCGAGTGACTATCAAGAACAAGTACCCTTTGCCCAGGATAGATGACTTATTCGACTAGCTGAGAGGATCTCGTTATTTTTCAAAGATTGATCTTCGGACCGGGTATCACCAATTGAGGATAAAAGATGAAGAAATACCCAAGACTGCCTTCAGAACCCGATATGGGCATTATGAGTTTGCATTAATGCCATTTGGGTTAACGAATGCTCCAGCAGCATTCATGGACTTGATGCATAGGATTTTCAGTCCATATTTGGATCAGTTTGTTATGATATTTGAGGATGATATTCTTGTGTACTCACGGACCAAATCGGACCATGAGCGACACTTGAGAATTGTACTCCAGACACTGAGAGATCACCAGTTATATGCCAAAGCAAACAAGTGTGAGTTTTGGTTATCTGAGGTGAAATTCTTAGGACACATGGTATCGGAATTTGGAGTACCAATAGACCCATTGAAGGTTGAGGGAGTGATAAAGTGGGAGCGACCAAAGTTAGTTTATGAGATCCAGAGTTTCTTGGGATTGGATGGATTTTATCGAAGATTTATTGAGGATTTCTCATGACTAGTAGCCCCGATGACTAGATTGACTAGGAAAGGAGTGAAGTTTCAGTGGGATGACACTTGTGAGCAGGATTTTTGTAAATTAAAGGAAAGGTTGACTAGTGCACCTATCTTGGTGATACCATAGCGAGGACTGTATTACATTGTGTATTGTGATGCCTCGAAAGAAGGTGTAGGATGTGTATTGATGCAGACTGATAGGGTAGTTGCATATGGTTCTCATCAGTTGAAAATGCATGAACAAAATTATCCCACCCATGACTTAGAGTTAGCAATTGTTGTCTTTGTTCAAAAGACATGATGACATTATATATATTTGTGAGGAGTTTGAAGTGTATTCAGATCATAAGAGTTTGAAGTATATCTTTACTCAGAGAGATCTCAACATGAGACAAAGGCATTGATGGAATATATTAAGGATTATGATTTCACTTTGTTTTATCACCCTGGTAAGGCAAACATGGTAGCTAATGCTTTAAGTAGGAAGTCATGGGGAGAGTTGCTCGCATAGCATCAAAAGAATGGCAGATGATGGAGATTGTTAGTTAATTTGGGTTACAGCTAGATAAGCAGAGTGATCGTGCTTGTCTCTATAATTTGGTGGTCACACCAGCACTCCTTAGTTGGGTGATAGAGGCACAAGGTCAAGATTCAGAGACAGACTCTATCCTTTCTAGAGTCCACAGTGGAGCCAGAATGGACGGTTAGGCCATAAACTCAGACGGGGACCTTGAGATTTTGAGACAAGGTTTTCATACCCAATAACGAGTCATTGAAAGATGACGTGCTTAGGGAGTTCCATCATTCCAGATTAGCAATACATCTAGGAGGCACAAAGATGTATCAAGATCTTCGTCATCAGTATTGGTGGAGTGGGATAAAGAGCGATGTGGAATGCTATGTGGCCAGATGCCTTATCTTCCAACAAGTAAAAGCTGAGCATCAGACTTTTGTGACTGTTTTACCAAAATCTACTAGATGACACGATTCAGTGTGGGTGGTGATGGACTGATTGACCAAGGCAGCACATTTTTTGCCAGCTCGAATGATAGACACATTGGACAAATTTAGTTGATTATAGATCAGAGAGATAGTTAGGCTTCATGGAGTACTGGTGTCGATAGTGTCTGACAGAGATCCAAGGTTTATAGCACAGTTTTGGCAGAGTTTCCAGGATGCTTTGGGTACTCAATTGATGTTCAGTACAACATTTCACCCGCAAACAGGTGGTCAATCTGAAAGAGTAATCCAGATACTTGAAGACATGTTGACGGCAAGTATACTAGATTTTGGTGGTAGTTGGGAAGATCATATCCCTTTGATTGAGTTCGCCTACAACAACAGCTATCAGTCGAGTATAGAGATGGCACATTATGAGGCACTATATGGTAGGCCATGTCGATCACCCTTATGTTGGGCCAAAGTAGGAGAGGCTCCATTATTGGGTTCAGAGTCGCTAAAAGAGTTATGCAGATCAACACAGGAGACCTTTGGCATTTGACGTTGGGGATCACATGTTTCTAAAGTGATGCCTCGTAGGGGTCTTATGAGGTTTGGGAAAAAGGGAAAGTTGTCCCCTCGATTTATCGGACCATTTGAGATTCTTGAAAAGGTCGGTGCAGTTGCATATCGATTGGCTTTGCCGTCACAGTTAGAAAGGGTGTACAATGTATTTCACGTCTCTATGTTGAGAAAATATGAGGCAGATCCTTCACATGTGGTTGATTGGGGTGAGATGGAGATTGAAATGGATGCCACCTATGAGGAGAAGCCAATACGGTTCTAAGATAGAAGAGAACAAGTCCTACAAAACCATACCCCTAGTCAAAGTCTTGTGGAGACACCGAGGAATCGAAGAAGCAACCTAGGAGCGTGAAGCAACAATGCGGGTCAATTAGCCACACTTATTTGAGAATGGAGGTACATTCTCTTAAATTAGTTATGTTAGAATTTAATTTTGAGGACGAAATTATTTTCAGGGGGTAGAATGTGAAAATCCGCTATTTATAATTATATCTATTGAATTATCAAAATTTTGACTTTTAATAGAAAACTCGGATGAAGAAATGGACTTCATCATTGAATTCCTCTCATGAAAATGAGTCTGACTAGTATAATATTGACTATGTTTACCACTGAGGATAAATTTGCTTGAGTTAAATTACTTAAACGAAATTAAATGAATTACAAAAAAAAAAGAAGAAAGAAATGATAACGAATAGTGTTATCAGTCATGGCAGCCTGCTATGACTATTTAGCTCACATTGGTTATGGTAGGAAGGCAAGAAAATATAGGAAGGCTAAGAAATATCATTGCCCTGCACTTGCCGCCCATGACTCACCAACTACTTTGACTGAAGCCCCTCCCTCTTAGTGTATAAATACAGGAAAACAAGTGAAAGAAAAGGAGAGAAAAAAAAAACAACCTACTAGCCTTGTTATTGAAAAGAAAAGCACAGAGAGAGACAGAGAGGGAGGACCCCATTGTTGAAAGATGAGAAATTCGTTAAATGGGTCTTTGAATTTCATGAAGGAATGAGTTGAAAATTTATTGAAAAGTAATTTAGGTCTTTGGTGATGAATGGGTGGTTTTAGGTTTGAAAGGAATGAATAAAAGAAACAATTTATGGCAGAAAAGAAAAAAATGGGAAAAGAAGCTATACTGATGCAGGGGTTCTTATACGTTGGAGAAGATGATGAAATGTTGGCTTATTTCAAAAAGGTCCCCTTAACCTTAAACATGTTACACCTACATACTTTATGAAATTACCCAATGAGAACATAAGTTTATAAAAACATTTCCGAATGCCAAATTAGTATTTCGATAGTGCAGAAATGTTTCTGAAATTGTACTTTGACCCCAATAAGTATGAAATAATTTTGAATATTACATAGTGACCTCTAATTTCATGATGAAGTTCCTAAATATTTATGAATGGACCCAAAAGAGTATACTTGTGTGGAAAGACCACCAAATCACATGTGGCCTTTAAGATGGTATTTCCTTGGAGTTTTAAACTACCCCCATGGTGATAAAAATTATGTGTGTATATATATATATATATATATATCATTCAAGTAAAAGTAGGATAACTTATGAAATTTATATATGGTCAATTTACAAGAAAAATATTATGTGTAAAGGGTGGTACACTTCCACATAGTTAGAATGTTAATCATGATATATATATATATGTGTGTGTGTGTGTGTGTGTAAAAACCGGAAAATGCGTACGTAGCAAGAACAAAGAATTTCATCCGAAGTTTCAAAGAAGAGATTTTGGAGAAATCAAAGGTTTGGGGCTTGAGAGTTGTTCTTGAGGTTTC